TATAAAATACGTGGCAAGCGACCATATAAAACATATGCGTCGATATTCATTTGCTTTGCTACGAAAGCTGTACACATTGAGGTGGTGTCTGAGTTATCAACTAATGCATTTTTATTATGTCTTCGAAGATTCATCGGACGTCGGGGCCTGCCTTCGAAACTGTACTGCGATAATGCTACCAATTTCTGTGGTGCAGCAAGGAAAATGGACGAATTCAAGCAACAGTTTTTCAGTACAGAGGTCATCGACGATCTTCACTCCTTCAGTGCGGTTAAAGGATTTGACTTTAACTTCATTCCGCCTCGAGCCCCACATTTCGGGGGGCTCTGGGAAGCCGCTGTGAAGTCAGCCAAAACCCTTTTACTGAAGAACATATCGGAGGCCAATCTCACATACGAAGAGCTTGAGACAACGTTTGCTGAAATAGAGGCAATTCTCAATTCCAGGCCAATTGCCCCTCAATCAGATGATCCTAACGACGGAATCGCTCTAACGCCAGCTCATTTTCTGGTTGGTTCATCACTGTTGGCTGCTCCAGACGAGCGCATCTTCAAACCACAGTCCACCACCCAGCTAAGTTATCTGGATCGATGGCAAAGGGTAACGTTTCTCAAGCAGCAGTTCTGGAGTATGTGGCAGCGGGATTACATACACACCCTACAGCGTCGAGGAAAATGGAATACTCAACAAGCAAACATCAAACCGGGCCAACTTGTCATCATACATGAGGATAACACACCACCACAACATTGGATTCTCGCTCGCGTCGTTTCCGCAATCCCAGGAAAGGACGGGAAGGTTCGAGTTGTGGATCTACAAACTTCAAAGAACGTGCTGCAACGCCCAATTCATAAAATTGCTCCTCTTCCAATGGAATAGTTGAAAGATCATAGATCCTGCAACGGGGGGAGTATGTTTGGGGAACACCCTGTTCTTTTGGTTTGTGAATAGACTAAGGTTGAAATCTGAAGTTAACGTCATTTTAAGTAAAAATGTTAGTATTTAATATGAACGCCGCGGTCCAGAGAAAGCTTACTAAGCGATCTCTTTTTTGTAATAACGATATCTGGCCACTCTACTCGTGGAAATAAATTGGAAACAACGTGAATTATTGAAAACGCAACGAAAACGAGTTCTATATTGGAAACCTAACTCATCCTTTGGCTACATTGCTGTTAGCAATTCCCTCCAGAGCAAGGTCTGGAAACAAACTCATTTTATCTCAATTATGCGCAAACAATGGGATTAAAGGCTACAGCAAGAACAAACAATAAATACACAAAAATAAATGTGAAATGATGGAAAAGTCTGCCAAGTGAAAAGCATTACGAAATACGGACGGCAAAAATGTTCACTTTAAAAAGTTATATAATTAAAAATTTGTTTTTTAAAAAACGATTATCTTATTTGAAATAACAGGCTTGGCAGAATTTTATGTTCAGTCGCACATTAAACCGAAGTTTGATTAGATTATTGGTATATTTAAAAACGAATTTTGATTTTCTTTAGGATCATTTGATCAATTTAAAGTTTAAAACGATTATCCTTATTCCCATCCCTAACTCCACTTTTGTAGCATACTTACATGCGAACGCGTCAATGCGCGAACAGGAGGGCAACATTTAAGGGGGAGAAAGGGAGGGCGCAACTTTGACCGTTTCAATACTAATGAGGCTGTCAAGTGTTTTGCATAAAAAAGCCGGCCAAAAAGTGTTTGGGGGAGAGAGCATTTTCGGTTAGGTCGCTTTTTTATGTTAATAGTCAACACACACGCACAACCGAGCCTGTGTGAGAGTGGGGCACGCACACACAAGTAAATTAAACTAGGCAGGACGCCGTTTGTAGTGCAAGTCAATTTTTCGATAATTTGAAAAGTTTATTTAATACAAAACGTGATTCAATTACAAAACTGACCGAAAAATACACACGCACCGTACATGGACGGCGGTAAAGGAAAATGGACGGGGGATGTTTGCTGTCCACTCCATGGCCGAAAAAAAAACTATTTTTCGCTTGTAAAGCGCAGCGTGTGCGCCATTTTCGCAGCTGTCCCTTGACTTGGCCATTATTGTTGTTGCCGTTCGTGCCGCACAATGGCGCTTTGTTAATGTAACGGAAATGTTGCGGCGAAGTTGGTGGCACATGTTTTGATCCTGGTCATTATGCTTTTTCTAGGGTTTTTCACAGGTCGCCGACAAGTTTCTGCGGTAAATGTCCCTAAATGAAACCTTATTTCTTACTTGTCGAACATATTTATAATAGTCTATTTAAATTTGTTTTTGTCTTTTTCGTTTTCGGCTAAAATTTACTTTACAAATTAACGTTATCACTATGGACGGCAGTCCATGTAGTGACGAAGCGCACCAGGAGAGTGTGCGAAGGCGACTACTATTATATAGCCGCAAAATTGAAAATCTGCTGTGATAGTCCGATCGTAATGAGTAATACACCAATCGAAAGGTATTGCAATAACTTAAAGGATTGCATACCAAGACTTTAAGAAAATCAATTGGCTTGGGAGAGAGAGCGGTGAAAGTGAAAAAATGAAAATTTCGAAATTTGGAGCTGTTGGGGCCGGTGGGGATAAATGCCCCCTCGCAATGTTTTAGTTGTATTCCTTTTGAAAATACCCGTCGAATGAGGGGTTTGTCAAAATCCGACGCTCCGTTCAAAAGTTATAGCCAAAATAAGATTTCCTTCTTCTTCCCAAAATGAAAATTTAATTCTGTTTGTCAGTTTGTCAGTTTGTCAGTTTGTCAGTTTGTCAGTTTGTCAGTTTGTCAGTTTGTCCAAAACATGTTTCTTAAGTTTTGAAAATTTAATATGACGTTCATCCCATCGATATAAAAAACTTTTGTTCTACCACTTTTGGAAAAACTCGCTAGTTTAGCGGGAAAACAGCTATAAATAGCTAAAATTCGGAAAACCGTAACTTCTATACTACTAAAGCTACAGACTTGTGCTGCATCTTGTTTGAAAGGTATTTTTAAAAGCTATAAACGCCTTCTATATGCAATTTGTGTAAATGTAATAATTAAAAAGATATGAACAAAAGACAATTTTTTAAAACTTTTTTTTTAGCTTTTTTTTATTTTTCTCAAAAACGGCTCTAACGATTTTCTTGAAAACTTTAAACTGTATAGCCCTTGAGATTCCTTAAATTTTGGTATATAACACATTACTGTAAAAAGTCACGTTTAAAAGTTATTTTTATACGAAAATAGCCACTTTTGCCAGCTCGAACAACTAAAGCTTCCTGAGTATTGAATTTTGTGTGAGGGTATCCGAACTGTATTTTAGGGTCATGGAATCAGTAAATTTGCACTTAAGAGTTCCATATAGGAATTTTTTTGTTCTACGACTTTTGGAAAAAGCCGCTACTTTAGCGGGAAAAAGCTAAAAATGGCTAAATTTCGTTAGTTTGTAAGTTCTACACTACTAAAGGTACAGACATGTGCCATACCTCGTTTAAAAGGTATTTTGAAATACTTTTTAACTTAATTTGTTTAAATACAATGGCTTACAAATTATGATTGACCAATTTAAATTTAAATGTATATATTAGCTCCTATGAGAGCAAATGTAAACAAACAAAAACTTCTGATATCAAATAAAAACACCTCTTAACGAGGTAAAAACTAGTGACGATCGCACCTTCAACATACAAAAGTTCTGATATCAACATTTGTGACGAAAAATTATTACACTCGTCATTAAATAGACTTTCTAATATTTTTTTATTCGGCACGCTGCAATAGAAAATGCCTGTGAAGGGAAAAAGGCTGGAATAGTCTGCTAGGGCGGGCCGAATGAGAAAAGATTAGAAAGTCTATTTAATGACGAGTGTAATAATTTTTCGTCACAAATGTTGATATCAGAACTTTTGTATGTTGAAGGTGCGATCGTCACTAGTTTTTTACCTCGTTAAGAGGTGTTTTTATTTGATTCTTAATATAACATTTAAATTAGATAACATATTAACTAGGTATTTAAAGAAATGGATCAACATTTCCGAATAATATTTGAATGACTATTAGTATTAAAAGCTTATTTTCATTTCACTTCACAACAAAATTATTTCACAACAAGTGAAATTTACTCAGAGTAATTCACAAAGTAATATCAAACAAGGAAATGGTTATTTCAATGCTAGTGTTCTACTGATCGAGCTATTTTAGCGATAAGTTGAATATAGATCTCCCAAACAAAGAAAGCTCGAACCATCCAAGTCCTTAAGAAATTCACAAACATTTTTTAAGAAACCGGATTTCAACGAGAATAAAGCTGTTAAAACCAGTCAATGTTCAACTTTCTAGCAGTATGTTTGCTGATTTTCACAATGTTGCCTTTTCTGTTTAAAGCTTTAAGCTTTATTTTTGTGAAATTAGTTAATGAATTTCATTTGGTTTTACCACATTTCAACAGCAAACATTTGAAGATTCGAAAAAAATCGCTCGTGTCGAATTGATAATATTTGATAACATTACTGATATCGAATGTATTTTACTGTTACAGAGCTTTATTGACCTCGCAACAGTATTTACAGGTTGCATCCCATTAAGTGAACCACTCACTTTAGACAAGCAAGTAAATCAGAGGTGGTAAAAGTAAGTAATAAACTAACTTAAAATATATTTAATATTATTTAAAGGCTTTTTCGAGAATACAATTTTTACCGGAATAATCGTAAAAAGTGCTTAAAAGTCCATTCTTTGTATGTTTAAATATTTAGTAAATAATTATTCCAGTAAATTGAGATACATTTGAATAGTTTCTAAAACTTGTATCATACAAGTTGTATGACATCACAAATGTAAATAACAAAAAATTGTACAATTCTTGTAAGGGAAGTTCGACTGTAGATTTACTGCTTCAAATGAGAATTGTTTGTTTATTTATTTCATCTAATCGCTGAGTAGAGAGCTTTTATCGCTGACCTAGGGGAACAAACCCATCAGCATTTCGCCGAGCAAGCAGATCGCTTCCACGTGTGAGAGAAAATGATTGTGGTTACCTTGGCTTTGGGCCTTCTACTGGGCGGTCTGCTCTATGCGGCTATGACCTGGAACTTCAACTACTGGCGAAAGCGACGGGTGCCGGGTCCCAAGCCCCAACTCTTCACCGGCAACTATCCCAACCTGTATACGATGAAGAGGAATATGATCTACGACTTGAACGACATCTACAAGTGAGTAGAACCACACATTCCAGAATCAATTGGGTCTTATTTTCGGATTCTTTCGAATATTTTCCGTTTAGAAAGTACAAAAGCAAGTATGATGCGGTGGGCATCTTCAGCGGATGGGTTCCCCAACTACTGGTGATCAGTCCGGAGTTGGCACATCGAGTTTTTGTGACCAACTTTAAGAACTTCCATGACAACGAGCTATCCAGATTGACTGACGAAAAAACCGACTTTATCCTGTCCAATAATCCGTTTTCGCTCACCGGCGAAAAGTGGAAGCAAAGGCGGGCTGATATCACACCGGGTTTGACCAACGGTCGGGTAAGTTAAGCCATAAATCGATATCTGTCAGTAAATTACCATTGGATATATAATTTGTAAACGAATAGATAAAGTCCGTCTATCCAGTGACGAACAAGGTGTGCCAGCAAATGAGCGAGTGGGTGAAGAAGCAAATTCGTTTGGGTGCAGCCGATGGCATCAATGCCAAGGATGTAAGTAAAGATAAATATATTTGTAGAAGTCCTTAAATTACTTTAACTTTTCATTACAGTTGGGTCTCTGCTTCACTTCCGAAATGGTCACCGATTGCGTGTTGGGTCTAAGTGCCGATAGTTTTACTGACAAACCGACTCCGATTATGGCCAACATCAAGGACCTGTTCAACCCTCACTGGACCTTCATGATCCTCTTCGCCCTGGTCAACACCTTTCCCTCTCTGAGTCACCTGATAAAACTGCGCTTTGTACCGCATCATGTGGAACGATTCTTTATCGGATTGATGGGAACAGCGGTTCAGTCGCGAAAATCCCAACTGGCAACTGGGCACTTTAAGCGCACCGACTTCCTGGATTATCTGATGCAACTGGGGGAGAAGAGAAACCTGGATACTCGCCACCTGTTGGCCCACACAATGACCTTCCTTTTGGATGGCTTCGAAACTGTAGCGGGCGTTTTGTCGCACATGCTATTGCTACTGGGTCGCGATGAAGAGGTGCAACAGCGGCTGCGGGACGAGATCCAGGAACATCTACAAGATGGTATCATACCATACGACAAACTCAACGAGTTGCCCTATCTGGATGCCTGCCTACACGGTGAGAAAAAACAGATGATAAAACTTTATAAATGTTGTATAAACATTACCATTTAAATCCATCTTACAGAATCGATTCGTTTATTCCCTCCCGGCTTTATGACCTCTAAGCTCTGCACCGAATCCGTGGAGCTGCCCAACAAAGATGGTCCCGATTTCATCGTGGAAAAGGGTACTGTTGTTGTCATACCCCACTCCTGTCATATGATGGACGAGGAGTACTTTCCCAGTCCGCAGACTTACAATCCTGATCGCTTCATGGATCCCGATGCAGTGAAAAATCTTCGCGAGCGCGGTGTCTACATGGGATTTGGAGATGGTCCGCGTATTTGCTTAGGTAATTATAAATCTATGATGTCCAAGTAATATACTAATGGTTGTAACCTTCCAAAGGTATGCGCTTTGCCACCTCCCAAGTTAAGGCGGCCATCGTGGAGCTGATCAGCAAGTTCAATGTGAGGGTCAATCCAAAGACCCGTAAGGATAACTTGTACGACCCAACCTTGTTCTTGGCCAATCTAAATGGAGGCATTTGGTTGGATATGGAGGCCCGACAATAGTTACGTCGAGGTGCTTTATCACAACGCCATAATTCATTTAATTGGAAGTCATTTATTAGGGGTACATTATCTCTATGGGTGCCCTTATCTGATCAGCCCATGGTCGTTCCCCTAACCATTAATTGTAGATGTGCCTTTTAACGTGTTATTACTAAATATTTATTAAATGTGAGTATGGGCCATGAATTAAGCCAAATAAAATAACATTTTGTATTTCCAAAGATTAGCTTTAGATTAGATTTCTTAAGAACAATGATTCATATTTCCTTGCAAAGACTAAAACCTTTACAAGGATTCTACACATTTTGGTTGGTGAACATAAAACAATTTTTTGTAAGCCACAGTAAATTAATAAACGCGCCAGTCTTTGCATAATCCATAAATATAAAACTTTTCCAATTAATTCAAAGTGTTAAACTCACCAAAATATTCTTCGAATAGTATTAACATTTTGTTATTCCAAGGATAATTCTTTTAGCGATTTTCATCCTTACCTTTTTTGTCAACTTGCCACCGAACCAATGAATTTTTATGCAAATTGCAGTCGCCTTGCAACTGACAACGTCGGCACCAAGTGAAGGAAGCTGCCGACGCACTCCCAAAACTTTTTTCCCTTCCCACCCAAGAAAACACTTGAGGCATTGCCATAAATCTTTGAGCAGTTTGCGCCACCCCCCGAGTTTCAACTGGTGGGGTAGGATCGAGTGGGGTGGAAAAGTCTGGGGCTTGTTTACCTTGTTAACTCGGGGGAGTCGGGGGTCCTGCTGAAAAATACTCGAGGCAATCAGACGGAATTTGCATAATTTGACAATTGTTTTCAAATTGCAATAACAATTTTAGCTTAATTGTTTTGCACACGCCAGCGAATATATTCTTTCCAGCGGCACTGCCTTAATTCCCATTCATTTGATTAGTGGGCCAAAGTTGCTCCTCTACACATTTTGGGGCAACTGCCACAGGCAGAAACTTTTTCAATTCAATTGTTAAATAAATATTTTACAAATAATTGCAGGCAAAAAAAAGGAGGAAAATTTCAAAAAAGTTTCTATTTTATACGCCACTTTTTTAATGGCCACACAATTTGCTGCGTTTAGCAGTCGCCATTCCGAGGGCGGGGCGATTCCTTCCGATGAACCGCAGCTGCTGCACAATTAAAATGCATGACTATTGTCAAGGCAAATTGCTTGCTGTGACAATGGCAGAACAATTGAGCCAGGATGGGACGGAAGTCGAAAGGGCCATCGCCATCGCAGTGCTGGAAATTGCTGATGTGATTGAGCCCTATATGTTTATGCCAACTTTTTGGGCTTTAAGTTATCCACCCACCACAAAAACTTTGCATAAGCAGCAGCTGCGCTTTCGGATTTCATTGTCATTTTAGGCAGTTCGAACTGTCACAAAGTTTGCTGGAAAATGGACAAGAACGAACTTCCAAATAACCAGTGTGCAATCGGATCAAACAAATGTAACCTAGACAAAGAAGATATTAAAAAAACATTTAGAGTGGTTTGAAAAACTTTAAAATGTATTTCCATGATTTCCACGTAAATTGAATTTCCTCAGAAAGGCAATAAAAAAGATGATATTCATTTTAAAATAGTTAAAGGAACGCCGGATAAAGGTTTTTATTTAAATCTCTAAATAATAAGATAATAAATTAATTCAGTTTGAAGTCAGCTGTCAGATAATTATATTAATAGATTTTTAAAAAAGCCATCAAGGATAGTTTTCAAAATCAATTTCTTTACCAAACATCGGCTGTTCATGCCGGCGTGAACGTTTTTTTCGTTCTTTTTTTTCCACAAATTTTATTGCTCAGGGGAAAATTATTGCCATTTAAATATTTTTTAAATGTAGTACATTTTAATATAAATCAAAGAATAACGGGTTAATAAACTACCTTGTTAACTAAAAGGTAAAATTTCCTTTTCAACCTCAATAAATTGCAATCCTAAGTCCCCCCACCAATGGAAGTGCCCACCGAGTGGCCATTAAAATGCAATTCACAAATGCACAGTCAAGTAACACATCAGCCTTCTTAGGGCTGTCCCCCAAGTAGAAGTCAACAATTTACATAACCACACGGCAGAATGGGTCACAACGGGGTCAGTCAGCCAGTAGTTAAAATGCTACAAAATTATACATTAAATTCCGAAACTTGGCAACATCCGATGGCCAAACAATGGCCCCAAACAGCTGCCAGTGCGATGCACCTGAGCAAGGCCAGCCAAACAAAACGACCAGGCAAAACCAACAATAACAGGACTTGTTGGCTGGCTCCTGCCGGCTACGGCTTGGTTAGCCAAGCCAACCAGTCACTTCCTGTTTTCCAGTTTAAGCCGCCGCCGACCCACCGGCACGCACAGAGCAATATCCATATGCATATTTCGACCGGCGAACCCGACCCATAATTTTCACAAGTGCGTGCTAGAGGTGCGAAAGCGATGAAGGATTTAAAAAATAAGGTAAAAGATTAAGAATCTACATTTATTAAAAAAAGTTAAAGCGAAAAAGGGAAAAATATACAAACACTTTCCGTTTGTTTTATTAGGTTCAAAATATGTTTCCAGAACAGTTTAGAAAATATTGTATTTAAAAAAATAAAAAAAGGTTTAATAAGAGAAAATATTGTATACTAAATTTCAAAATATTCAAATTAATTTCATTTCATTTTTAAATAAAATAAAATAATTTTAAATAAAAGATATATTTATAAACAATTTGTAACATATTTAATACTCAAGGAAATATTTTAATTTATTTTTCAAATATTCTAATATAGATTTCATAATAGCTACAACCCATTATTTTAATTTTTAAATTATAAGTTTGTTTGAATGACATATTTATAAACCATTTGTTAAATATTAATTACAGCTAAATATTTACTTTTATTCTCCCAAAGTTTTATGTAATTCACGTACCCATCTCGAACCGCTGTTCGCTTTTAATGGAGCTTGCACACATTTTCACAGCCCTGGAAAACGCTACACTATATGATGGCCGGCTGCCCGGCAGACACAAATAAGGTTTTTGGGTTAAACTGCAAGTTTTTGTTGACATTTAAATTTGCATGGCAACATTTTGGTTGCAGGCCTGGCCTGTCATATTTGATGTTTTCCCAACCGAAGGCAAAGCGGAAGGGCGCTTTCCAACTGTCAAGCGGCTGGCTGTGTGCATATGTGTTTGGGTTTGGGTTGGTGCTCGGGTTTTGGCGACTGGCGACCGGCGAGTGTGTTTTAACTGGTTTTAAAATTGTTTTAATTAAGCCCGTATTGCTGCGCATTGTTGCAGATCCCACCAGCTCTGAGTTCCCCCCACTCAGCCGGGCTCATTCAATATTCAGCATATTTTTAAGTGCTTGGGCGCGGAAAAATTCCGTGATCCTAAAAGTATGCAACGCAAAAAGGAAATTGCAATACGGAAAAGTTGCCGCTGTTGTTGTTTGGTTCTTCGTGCTAAATAAAAAAGAAAAGCGAAGGGCTAAAAAGGATCCAGGAAAATGGCCAAATGCCTTTCTGCATTCTCCTTGGCGGAGGGCCCATCAACATAAACAGCTGTTTCCGCTAAGTGTACCTGGACACTCGAGCAACCTGGCCATATTACGTATACGTAAGCGGTGATAGTATGTGTGTGAAAAAATGACAATGCACAAGTGGACAGCGGAAAATCGGAAAAGCGGGATAACAGCTGGCTCAGTTTGTGGTGCCGTCAAGGAAACGACGATGGCATCGTTTGGTGGCCTGATGGAATTTTCTTCCGGCTTTTGCAAAGGCAAAGTGGGGTCAAGTATCAAAAGCGAGGAACAAGATAACTGCAGGATTTCTAAGTAGCTTAGAGCACATTTGGCTCAAATAATGTTGTACTTATCGAATACGAGGAATAAATTAGAGGCTTTAGAATATTGCTTAGAAAAATCACTTTACTTGTCTAAATTAAAATAATGGGAAATATTACAAATATACTTAAAATGTTTTACATAACCAAAGAGTACCATTGACTTTATTTGACTAATTTTATAATTGATTTTTTCTAAATGATAATGTAAATATTTCTTAGTTAAAATATTAAAGTGCAGTGTAAAAAAAATCATTACAATATTTATATTTCTTTCTGTGCATCAAAACGCCTGGAGTATAGGTGCACATGCTACGAAATGCAGATCGATCAGATCCCCACAAGACCAAACAGCTCAAGTGTTTATTTATAATTTACACCTCAATAGCCAGCGGTGGGATCAACAAGTTGCCCCAGTTCCGTGCCACGGAACGGAGGCCCTAAGACCTTGCCCAAAGTGCCGGTGTCTAATTTTAAAATCGGGGAATGAAAACAACAGAGAATCGGAATCACAACAGTTGCCATATCTCGAGCACAGTTCCACGCATCAACAAAAATCAAGAAAGAAAAAATAATAACAAAAATAAATCGGAAGCTCTGTGCGCAGAGCAGGCAAAAACGCAGGTCTTTGGCAATTGTGAGGAGACGAGAACCTAACAATTTCGAACACGAGAAACTGAAAACAGTTTTTCAGTTTTCGAAAATAGCCAACAGAGCGATTTGAATATGTGAAAGAATCACAATCTATTCGGGAGACAGTCGCTGGCCAAACGCGACGCAACTGCGAGTGCAGCGGACAGTCGGTCGGTCCAACTATATAAAAATAAACCGAAAGCAAGAAGAAGCCGTCAGCGCAGGCTGTGCCAAAAAAAATTTCAAAATTAGAGTACATATAGTTCTGTGCGGTCGTTTGCGTTGTAAATAATTTGAAAGTCAGTAAAATAACAATAACAATACCCCCGGAGACATGAGTGCAACGAGCGTGGGGCGAAAGGGCAGTGGCCAACTGGAGGTTATGCAAAAGGCTGGTTGGAAGATCGATGGAGACGAGAAGGGTAGGCCAAAGACTCCTATGGGTCATGTATGACAACTCAGTGAAATAATCTGATTTTCATTTCATAAAACATTTAGCATGCTACATAGATGTTGACGAGGATGACGACCAGGACCCGGAAAACATGATCGAGTCAAATTGGCGTTACTTACCTGACCTGGTACTAGAGCAAATATTTACGTACCTTAGCCCCAAAGAGCGCTACTACGCCGGACTGGTGCGTATATTGAAATAACACAACAACTGTTTAAAAATATTTTATAATACAGTTAATAGGATTTACAAAATACCTTAAAAAACATTTTCGGTAATATTTCGCCATCAAATTTCGTACTTTGTTCATTATAAATCGATATATTTTTAACTACTTAATATCTTTCTTGATACGAATTTATTAATTTTTAAGTCAGCTCCACAATAGTTATATTTATAGAATTAAGATTTTAGAATGACCAGAACAGGAACTGGAGACTTTTTGGAACCCACCCTTTCACCAAGCATCGGTGGTTCAGTGGTAGAATGCTCGCCTGCCACGCGGGCGGCCCGGGTTCGATTCCCGGCCGATGCATAACACTTTTTTTTTTATAACGGCCAACTTTTTTTTTTTTATTTGAAAGAAAATTGGTGAACTTGTCGCTATCATCGGTTTTACCCAAAAGCTCTTTATTGATTTTATTTTAGGGTCGAATATTTACATAATACCGAAAAACCGAAAATTCGGAATGTTTACATTACAATGGCTCATTGGAGCTGACCTTCAATAAAACCATCAAATTAGTTCATATGGCAATGTTTCCAGTCTTTTGATCTAAATAGCAGCTGTGTGCTATCTTCAGAGATATAAGTTGGCCTCCACTATAACAGCGAATTGTAATATAGGGTAGTATATTAATAATACTAACGATTAGCGGGAAAAACGTCTTCGTCGTTGTTTTTAAATATTAGTCTAATATCAGGAAGTTGTCAGATGACGATAGCAGAATCTAATCTTAGTAAAAAGATAAAGAACAATCGTTTACTCGGTGGAAGCTAAAGAACGCGACTTTATGATCTTTGCAGGTTTGCCGCCAGTGGTATAGAGCCTTCTATTTGCCAACTGTTTGGAACAACTTCTTGGTGGATGATCGAACTCTCACGAAACCGAAGTTCAATTACTACTCCGGCTGGCAATTTTGCCTGGATCACATGCGAACACAGTTCTGCCTGTCGAAGATCGGCAAATATATGCGAGGTATCGAGTTTCGTCCGTGGCACAGTTTCAATAACATCTTTCAGTTTATGACCATGCTGTCATGGAACATCGACAAGGTATACCAATATTGTTTTAACGGAGAATAAGAAATATAATGGTCTACTGATTCAGGGTAGAGAGGAGAATCCTGGTACAGAGTTCGTTGGCATAGGTCGCCGGATTCGAACACTGGTCTATCACTTCCCATGCAATATGTCGCAGCCCAACGATCCAGAGGGCATCAAGCTTTTCGGCACTGGTGGTCAGCTGCTGAGGGTCCTGAAGGAGTTGCTCCTGCGACTGACGGACCTTCACACCCTCAAACTGGTGGACTTTGTACTGGAGCGATACGAGGCGAATCATCTGCTGGACGAGGTCGTCTGCAGTTGCTGCACCAAGATGAGGGTCCTGAATCTGGTGAATGTGACCACTATGCACTGCCCCATCATGCATGTGGGTCTGTTTCTCAATCTACAGGTGAAAACGATTTAAATTCCTTTCTTATCCGATTGGTGAATAAACGTTTTGATTTAGGTGCTCACCATATCGCCGCAGAACATAGATGACGACGTTTTGTCCCTTCTGGCGGACACCAAGCTGCGACACCTGCACTTGCTGCAGAACTGCTACACGCCAAACCACCTGACAATCAGTGCCTGCGGCGTGAAGGCCTGGCGGAATGTAAAGAAGACCAATCCGCGCCTGCGTGTCCACCTGCGGATGGAAAATCTGGCGGACGGAGAGGTGGTGTTGCAGCCGGAGGCGCCTGTCCACAGCATCACGTACTGTGCTCCGCAGACGCGGATTCGGGCCGAGCTGCTCGTCCGCATGGTGGACCACTACCGGAACACCCTGGCCGTCTATGGCCACGAGCTCCTGCCGCGCTTCTCCAGCCCCAAGCCATTTCACAGCCGCATCGACAGCTTGATGTTGCTCATGTGCCGCCAGTGCTTCAATGTGGACACTCTGGTGAGTCCTTTCTGTATATAGTCGATGGTAATTCAGTGGGTACCTTTACTTTTTCACTTGAGTGGAAGGGATTTATCGAGCAAACCCCTAACACGTGGATCCGGGCATGATGAAACCTTTCTTTAAAAGAACTTTTCGAAAAATGTTATGAAAAACACAAATATTTCGCCTAATGAGCAAAGTAAAGATATTTGCTTCAGGATGAATATGTCATATAGTTAAATCGTTATAAATTGGTTTTTCGATTTTCTTAAAAAACTAATGAGTATTGACATCGAATTTTGAAATCTGAATTTAAGTTCACACTGTTTTCCAATTAATAACCTATTTTATTTACAAATCTAGCAATTTGATAACTAATTTTGGGGTATTTCTTGATTACTTAACACCTCATTACCTTATTCTGCAGATCATCCGCGAGAAAGTCTCCACATCGACGCTTCTGCTCATTGCCCGAACAGCCAAGAATCTACAGCATCTCTATGTCAGGCGATTTGCTGTAATTCTGCGATGCGACTGGCCAAGACATCCGGAATGGAGCGACGAATTTACCACCTGGCTGAAGCGAAATTCCCGATCCTACGAGGCCGTCGAGCGAGAGATCTCAGAGATCCTGGGCTACAAGTGGCGCCTGCTCAGCGATCGAGACTTTAAGCAGCTGACTGTGAATGTGAAATCCGGGGCCTAGAGGTCAAGGACTCAACAAATTCTGTATCCCCCTTTAAGACTTGTGATAAACGGTGTAGAGCTTTAATAAATAACCCAAATATCGAAAACAATAAACGACTTGCAAAGTGGCAATTTAAATTTACTTAATGTTTGTTTCTGTTTGTCCACCTTGTTGGGATATCCCAAAAAATGCATATGCCCAAATGATTTAAAAGCCAATGCATTCGAGGCAGCTGCATCAGTTTGTTGAAGAGCCCTGCCATGAAAGCTGTGATCGCTGTACTCCTTGGACTTCTGTTCTTGATTGCATCTGCATGTGCAGCACCTCATCATGGAGGCGATCCACATTACGATCCCCACCACGATCCTCACTACGATCATCATTACTATCGTCATCACGATCCTCACTACGATCCGCACCACCATGAGCATCATCATTACTAAAAAGGAATGAATTTTGAAGTATTTTTATTCTCTGAGAAATTACTTAAACTCACAATAACTGGGATAAGGATTTAATAGTCCCCTTTTCATGTCAAATGAATCGCTTGAGTTAAAAAATTTTAAATTACCTTATTATCCAAGGCTCGTGTGCAAATAAAGAAAAATATCGTGAACTTTTGGTAATTTGCATGGGAGGGGGAAATACAACTCTTCGATCAATTCGCACCTTTCGGCAGGTGAAATTCAATTCATTTTGTTTGTCCACGCTGTGATTGAAATTCCCAAAAGCGTAACATCATCATGCTTAAAAGCCAACAGCATCTCCACAGATTTGTCAGTCAGTCGTGAAGTCTTGCCAGAAACATGAAAGCTGTAATCGCTCTACTTGGACTTGTGTTCTGCATTGCCGGAGTAATGAGTACACCTGTCGTAGTTGGACTGCCTCTTCCACTGCCAATTGGCGTGGGATTCGGAATACCTCCTCCACCACCTCCACCTCCACCTCCGTCCTATGGCTACTACGGGTACCCTCATCACCACCACCATCATCATCCCCACGGATATGGATACGACTACGGCTATGACAACTATGGATATTAAGGATTATAAGCGTTGGAGTTTCGCATATTTTAGAATTTAAAGGACTATGGCGACTGCCTGTCTAACCCGTGGAATAAGATATAAAAAAATTTTTATTATAAAATTTATAAAACACGAAATTTGTTCTGTAAAAAAAAGTTAAGCATAAATGTAAATTTATTTATTCCTTCAAAAGGCTGTAATGAATTTTATTGATTGTGTAAAAGTAGTCAAGAAAATATGAAATCATTTTTTCCCAAATAAGCTAGAAATTAGAAATGGCAACTCGGGAAGTTGTTGAGCATCGGAAACAAGAAAATAAGGTTCTCAAGATAATGTAAATTATTACACAGGTATTCTACATTCCTTTGGCTTTTCCAAATATTTTCCCCGAAAGCTAAGCTTGATTTCCCAACTATTTGTGCTTTTCACTGACCAATTTATGGATACTTTCCATAACCCCTTTCTTCTACCTCAAAGCTCCTGGCAGTGCTGGAGCTTCGGAAGCTTGCACTTTGCACTTGGCTTGCAGCAACGACCTTGAATGCAGCGCAGACCACGGGAACATCCACCCACTGGGGGGAGGGAATCAATGCAGTGGGAAAATTCAATGTCAGTGCCAAAGCTCGGAAGGCATTTAACCGCCACCAAAAAAAAACAAAAATGGTATACTTTCGGGCACTCAATCACATTACGTATACGTCAGTGGTCAGTGAAAGGCGCGATGATTGGTGTTGATTCGTTATTGAAACAATAAATATGTAAGAAAGAAAATAAAATTCAGGGGAGACGATTTTTCGGCACTCGCGAGAAATTGCGACAGGCCAGTGAGACAAATTTAGCCAAGACCAACGAAATTCTGAACCGAATCGCAGGAGACTCTCGATTCTCGGCGGAGAGCAAACTGTTGCTGCTGATTCTGGTGGTGCTGCCACTGGGCCTGAGCCACTCGGTGGCTGTGGTGGCGCTGGTGGCGGTGGCAGTTTTTGTTTGGCGGGTGGCGGTGCCAAATGATGATCATGACCGCGTAGAGACGCAGATAAATATAATTGAAACACCAGCAAACTATAAGCAAGTAAAACCCGAAGACGCCACCATAGTGCGGGCATTGTGTAACTGCAACCATATCGGCATCGTCAACATGAACAAAACGATTCTGCACTGGAGCTACCTGAACTTCAAGGATGTGCCGATGGATCTCTTCCTCTACGAGGATCTCGAGGAGGTCTACCTCAAGGAGAACTTCATATCGGTGATCCCCAAGTGGCTGCTGAACATCACGACCCTCAAGTTCATCCATCTGGCGGGCAACAATCTCAGCGAACTGCCCACCGATATCTATATGCTGGAGAACCTTGAGTTTCTGGACGTTTCCAACAATGAGCTCACGGAGCTGCCCCCCACCCTAGGTCTCCTCCTGTGTCTCCAGCAGCTGAATGTGTCGGGCAATCAGCTCACCGAACTTCCAGTGGGTGAGTAGTAGTGGTCCTTATCGCGGGGTTTCGTATCCTTTCATTCCGGTCTTCAGAACTGAGCAGCTTGCGCAATCTGGAGCACCTGAACATCGCCAAGAATCAATTTCGCCGACTGCCCATACAGCTGAGCGAGTGCGTCCGCCTGAACGAGCTGAATGTGAGCGACAACGAGGCACTGCTCCACATCCCCGAGCGCATCGCCAACCTGCCCATGCTGCAGTCCCTCCTCGCCGATCGTGAGTAAACCGAGGGATCGGTATCCGGATTGTGTCCGCTAGTGAGCATCATTGATTTCTCTCGTTGGCAGGCTGTTCTCTCGTCTACCTCCCAGCCGCCCTCTCCAAGTTCATGAACCATGTGCGCATCTTTCACAACACAGCCATCAACTACATACCCATGGTCTACGAGAGGTTCTACCAAAATTTCTACGACAACCGACAGAGATGCACCCCCATGTAAGGGCAATACAATGTAAAGCATTGATTGATGTATTTGGCAATTCATTGCCTTCCCCTTTGATAATAACTAAACTTAATTTGGGATACCTTCAGCTAGAAAACTAAATCGAAATGTTTGTCAACAAAGAGCATTACCCTATTCTTGGCGGGATGCCTTCACGCATGTCTATTATATATTTAGCGATCATTTTTTTTTTATTTATTGTAAGAGGGTTCTTTAGGAATCTCTTTCAACCAAAAACGATCAAAACTTTTAAGCTGCAATTAGAGTAATTGTAATAGTCTTATTAGATATTCTTCCTATAAGAGAAGTGCGGTAAATGGAACCAAACCTCAAACTAATATCTCTTTCCCTTTTTATTCAGTGCCGTTAATCGCAAGGGTCTGTTTTGGGTGCGCGAGCTGGAGACCAACTCCAGATTGGTACTTCCGGTGGGCACCCGCACAGTATTTCCGGTTCCCTCGGTGGAGAACAGGGTCACACTCTACGACGACTGTCTGCACGCCCTGCAGTCGTTGAATCGCTCCTTGCCCGTCTACGAGAACGCCGCCCTGCACCACCTACTCCCGGAACCGTACATCAGTTCCCACATCAACAACGGAGCCATCGCCCGCTGCACGAATTCCACCTGTTCCAGATGCCTGTACACCTCGTACTACTTCATGGTCGTGAAGAGGTGGGTCTAAGTTACGCTTATGTTTGCTTGGCGTTAGTCATGTGGCTATTGTTTTGATAAGGCCGAAACCGGTTCGCTTTCTAATTGGGGCAGATGGACCTATCACAACCGCAAGAAGTACAGTGAAGGCTGACTAAGTCAGATCTTGATATTCCTTAACTGTATTAATATTATTTAAAATTCAAAAGACATTTTTAAATTTACAAAAAATTATCTTGTTAAGTGCTTTCGTAGACATAACATTTCATTTAAAAATTGAGAAAATCCATTTTAAACTTTACAAAAAAATCACCAATTAATATGAATCGTCATTGTTTAACTCTAACTCTAACTATAAATTTAACATGCGGACGAGAAAGCTGGCCTTAAATTACTAGTTTTTCATTACCAACAGGGCTTAAAGCTGCTTTATAAAAATATTCATATTGACGAGCTGCGATTCACTTTTTTTTTATAGGCGTGGCAGCACTTCCAAGCAGCTCTTCACCTGCAATTTCTGCACCAACCGATGCGCCCTTCTCTGGCTGACGAGCAATGACAAAAAGTACTACCAATTGACTTGGCGAGTGTCGGATGATGATGACGACGATGATGAAGAACACGTGTCCGATGGCAAGTAGAGCCAATGGAGTTCGACCGACCTCGTTGTATATAGTCATACATACATATATAATTATTTAATTATTATATTTAATTACCATTAATTAGTTTTGTACATGTCATGTTAATGCTATTGAACTACTGGCAACCGGCGCCATTTGTCCAAAGAGAAAGCTCCCGATAATCTAGGCTCAAAAGAAGCTCTGTGTGGCTCCCCGGGAGTAGAGGTGTACGTAGTCGTCCAAAACGCAGTGATGGGCCTCCGAAAAGGCTCTTCGACAATCGACGCCATGTCGACCCATCCTGTAGGCATCGAAATACCGACCGTCCAGCGTTCGATGAGGTCTATAGAATTAACAGAGTTATCTCAAGCTTGCGTTTAAGTGAAAAACAGCTTACCTTAACAGTCTGTGTAGTAGTTGTGCATACAGTCCACTGTGCTCATCCACCTGACCGTTCTCGCAGATCAATCGCTTCAGGCAGGCACTTCCATTCTGACCCAATTGATTCATATAGCCCTCGGCGAACTTGAATAGCAAAAGCTGGGGCTCATCCACCAACAGACGAGCAGGCACCGATGGAGAATCAGGATCTGACTGGGTTTGGGTCACAGGTCCCTTGAGATTTCGGGATCCATCCCAGAGTTTCCACCAGTAGATCGGAGTTTGCGGCTCATTGAACTGGTAGTGGAAGTTCATCAGCCAGACCAACTGACGCCAGGCCTTTTTCTCCATAAACGGAACCGGAAATGCACAGCCGGATACAAACTTTAAAGATACAAATTAATGTCTATCACTATATTCAATAAATATTTGATGTCTAACCTTAATGACACCGCCGTTCTGATAGATTAAGAAACGCTTTTGTCGCCTGTGATGACGCCAAGCTGTGAGATTGGCCTCCAGAGCATCCGCAGCCTCCAGGGTCAAAAGGAAGAGTATAATCTTGGCTCTAAGTTGGGGGAGGGATCACTGATCAGTGGAAATTCAACAGAAGTCACTTCACGGGCTATTAACTCACAACAGGTTCATTTTGCCGCTTCTTGTGCTGTCGTCTCGAGCTCCCAACAGCATTTACCGCCTCGATTCTTACAGCTCCACTGCTTTGGCATCGTTTTACGATAGTTTGTAAGCCCAGGGAGGGATGGGTGGTATATGTACACGGTGTCAGAGAGAGGTGAGAAAAAGCACGTGCTTCGGTGGGTTTCCTACTTTTGCCTGCCAGACTAATTAGCAAACACAGCGTCTGCGCCACCAGCCCACCGTCATTGGACCGCGGCACCAATTCAATCATCGATTGAAATATTTTCAGGTTCAACGACGTAGACCTATAGGTGACACTGTCACTTGAAGGATAGATCCGCACAGAAGATAAGTAATACATATTACGAATACATAATATACATATTAATTTGTTTAGAACTTATTCAGATCCGGAAAATCTATTAGTATTTTCTGTTACATTGGCAAATACATTAAAAATTCCATTTTTTTTTAATTTGAAAATAAATTAATTTTTATACTAAAAAAACATAGAATATGAATGGTATGATTTCAGTTTTTTTTTAATTAATCTATAAATTGTATTATAATTTATGCAATAAATATTTGTTGTGCTTAGTTAGTTTAATTATATAATGTGCTATATTGATACAATTAAAGACCCAGCTTTGTAGAAGTAGAAGCTGACCCATACTTCAGTTAAGTTTACCCTTGGAAACCGCTACCAGTTGCAGTTAGTTGGCTTGTTGGCCAACAGTTGACTTTTCGGGCTGCCATGGCGAGGTGGCATTGCCATAGTTCCGTTTGTTCCATTTATCGAATAGCAGCGGAAATGTCGAAACACTCGGCCAGTCCAGAATTCTGCTGCGTGGCGTTAACTGCCACAGAATTGCTTTTGGCTTCGAGACAAATGTAACCACAACGATTTGGCAAAGGGATTGGCAACAAAATTACACTGTGAAACAAACGAAGAGGTTACAAAATTATCTGTGAAAATGATGCGACTACCGGGAATGCCCATGCTGCCAGGCGCTCAGTTCTACGATGTAAGTGGTTCCGATGGGAGATATCCTCCAATTATTAACTTGTCAACTATTAACCTCCTCATCAGCGTGGCAAGCGTCGCCATCCGCGACAGCAGACGTTGATGCACTACCAGGGCATCCAGATGCTTTCCGACCGCCGGGAACCGGAGCTCGTGGAGCCCAATGGCATCGTGGCCGATCCGAAGTGTCCACCCGTTCCGGCCCAGATCAACAGCTTGTGGGCCCCGAAGGCCACCACCAAGCTGCCCCCCTGGTTGGCCTACGACAAGCAGGTTCTTTGCTTCAGCGCCTACTTCAAGGAGAACCTCACGGAGGTCTACCACGCCCCCTACCAGGTGCGCAAGGTGAAGATCTACTTTTACCTGGAGGACGGAACCATGCAGGTCACCGAGCCGAAGGTCGAGAACTCGGGAATACCACAGGGATGTCTGGTCCACCGCCAGCGCATCCCGAAATCCCCACCCACCGACCGCGAGTTCATCTCGATCTTCGACCTCAATGTGGACACGGATTTGCAGATCTTCGATCGGGTCTATCACATCAGCGGATGTGACATCTTCACGCGACAGTTCCTCAATCGAGCTGGGATCTTTGTGCCTGAAGCCCAGCAGGAGCCATGGTAAGTATCATTAAGTCTTTCCACCATCCAAACATAAATAAATTAAAAAATACCTTCCAAAGCCTTCTATAATTCCGAAGTTTAATTTAATTTTATATATCTTATTTATATATCCTTAATTCATTCATTAAAATTTTAGCAACCCCTTCAAACCATTCTCTGCATTTTACCCTTAGTGATCCCACTACAGAAATCCGAAAACGTTCCGGCTTGAAACAGACAGCCAACTCCTGCTCCTCGGCTCTTCCCAAGAAGCACTCATTTGCCCAGTTTCTGGAATTCGATAGGCGAGTGCTCAAGTTCCAAGGCTATTGGAACGATCGCAGCGAGTTTGGCGATGTGCGGAAGCTGGAGATCTGCTACTATCTGGCCGATGATACCATTGATATTAAGGAGAAGTTTCCACGGAACTCCGGGCGAGAAGGACCGAGCACTTTTTTGAAGCGAGGCAAGCTGCCAAAAGAGTTTTCAGGCCTTCCTCTGCCGGGCCAACAGACGGCAGTGACGCTACTCAATGTGCTGGGCAACAGTATGCGCGATGTGCGTTACGTAGCCGACCCGTTGAACACAGGGCAAAAACAGGTCCACCACTACACCGATCAGGATCTGCAAATAGGGGCCGTGCTTAATGTCTTTGGAAGAGCTGTCGTCCTTACGGGATGTGACCAGTTCACGCAGAGTTACTACAGGGAGAAGGTGACCAAATCTGTTTCCTAACAATCAAGAAAAACTTATAATATTTAATTCTTTATAGTACGGCATCCAGGAGTTTTGTGCCCAACCAATTCCACACCGTAGCGACATTCGACCGTACACTCAAGGTGGCATGGCATCCCGCAGACTGCCACCCTACAATGGATGGGGTAGCCATGAGGATTCGGAGGGCAACTGCATAACCGTGGAGCCCAAACCACCGCAGGCAGACTTCAAGAAGCTTTTCAAGTACGATGGCTGCATTCTGCGCTTCGGGGCAAAGCTCATCTCGGCCATTCGGGACAATGGAGAGCGTGACTTTGTCATCAGCTACTTTCTGGCCGACGACACCGTGCAGATCTACGAGTCGTCGCGTCGGAACTCTGGCTTCCTGGGCGGGGAGTTTCTTAAAAAGGCCCGTGTACCACTGCCGGGTCAGGATATGTTCAGTTCCTCGCGGCCCGAGTACTATAGAGCCAATGATTTTTACATAGGACGCACCATGACTCTCAAGGATCACATTTTCCACATAGTTTCGGCTGACGAGTTTACGCTGATGTACATGGAACAGCATCCCAGCGAGGTAAATATATATATTTTGAACCACATTTCTTACTACCCCTAAATCAATACGATTTTGCAGTTCCCCGTAGCAGATATTCGAGTGATCATGCAGAAGATCCGCGAGGCAGTGCGTCCGGAGTACAAGCAATTTGTGCTGCGCTGCAAGCCGGGTGGAGACCTCGGGGACTCCACCACGGTTAGCTTCGACACCCTTCGCTCGACCCTCCTGTCCTATCTGTCCAAGGATTGCCTGCTCAACCATGAAATTGTGACCGTGTGTCGCTATTTTTCGGCTGAGCAGGCAATGCCTCCCAGCTGCGACAGGAATCGAGTGCGAGCTGCTGCCCAACTGGAACTAAAGCGCGCTCTGTGGAACGGCGTGGAGCAGCTGAACGATCACCTGAGCCACATTAATCCGGAGTGCAGGCCGTACATCAGCGAGGCTCAAGTGAGGTCCACATTGCGAGGCTGCCGGCTGCCCTTCAGTCTGGAACTTGTGGAGGACATCTTGATGGTGCTGCAGCGCAATGGCCAAAACGAGATCGAGGTGCGCGACTTTCTGGCCTTTTTCAACATGCGCGGCGACCAGGTGCCCGACATTGCCCCACTCAACATTGCCTTTGAGCTGTGCCCCAAGCTGCCGTTCTTGCACAAAGGTCGCCTGGTGGATTTCACCTGGTTCCTGGACTACCTGGGCCTAGAGGAAGAACTGAAGCGAGCCAACAGTTAAGTAGCGAAGAAGGCGTATCAAAAATTGCATGTATATACAGAAAAATTCGTGGCAATATAACTTTCGGAATGGTGAACTTTGTGCTTAAGACCTAAACGTAGATGGTGGTATTCTACAGTTTTGACTCGGTGAGCCAGTTGAAGGACTGCGGCTTGCGATCGGATGACGGGCTGATGGCCACATTGATGATGGTCGGCCTGTCCTTGAGCTCATTGGCCGCCTTGACAGCCGCCTGCAGCTGTTCGATTTCCGTGCAGAAGTAGCCCTGCATGCCGAACATTTTCATCATCTCCTCGTAGCGCACTTGAACGCCCAATGCCGACGGTGGTGTGCTGCAAGATAAGATTAGCCGTAAGTAGTTGTACCCAGATAAACCGATAAGCTACCAGCGCACTCACATTTGGGTAAGATCGCCCTCACTGCGAATGGCCTCAAAGGTGTCCTTGTCGAATCCACCATAGATGCCGTTGTTGTTCACAATCACGATGGTCACGGGCAGCTTGTACCGCACCATGGTCTCGATCTCCATGCCCGAGAAGCCAAAGGCGCTGTCGCCCTCCACGCACAACACTCGCTTTCCCGGGGCAAAGTCGCGGCAGTAAAGAGCGGCGGCCACGGCGAATCCAGGACCCACGCCCATGGTGCCAAAGGTGCCGGCATCCAGGCGGTGGCGAGGCTGCTCATTCAGCAGCATGGAGCGACCAATGTCCATGGTATTGGCTCCCTCGCTGACGATGATCGTGTCCTTGGGCAGCAGTTCGCGGAGATGGTGGAACACCGCGTAGTAGTTAAGCGGCGTCTCCGTGTTCAAGGACATCTTCTGCACGGTGTCGCGGTTCTGCTTGCACTTAATGGCCAGCTGCTTCCACCAATCCTGCTCGTAGCCGAAGCGGAAGTTAACGGCGTTCATCTGCTCGAAGAGCTGCTCGGCAAAGGGACGAATGTCCGCCTGAATGGCCACCGAGGCAATCACCGAGTTGTGCAGCTCTTCGGGGTTGATGTCCACCTGGATGAACTTCACATCCTTGTCGTAACGCGGCGCCTTGCCGAAGTGGAGGATCCAGTTGAGGCGGGCGCCCAGGAGCAGCACCACATCGGCCTTCTGCAGGGCCAAGGTGCGAGCCGAAGAGACGCACTGCGGCGCCGTGTCGGAGACCACGCCCTTGCCCATCGGCGTGGGCAGGAAGGGCAGGTTGGTGTTCTCGATGAAGTGCCGCAGCGTGTTCTCGGCATGAGCGTAGGCGGAGCCCTTGCCCACGATCACCAGCGGTCGCTTGGCCTGGCGCAGCAGCTTGGCGGCACGGATCACATCATCGTGCGGCGGATAGGCGAGTGGCGGAGCCGGATGGGGCAGGGCCTTGTAGATGCGAGCCTCCTGGGCCTTGGACTGCAGGATATTGCCGGGAAAGTCCAGGTAGGCCACGCCAGGGCGGCCGTAGGTGGCATACCGCACCGCCTTCTCCACGTGCAGCGGAATGAGGGCTGCGGTGGCCGGACGGGCGGCGTACTTGCAGTACGGACGCGACAGCTCCACCTGCGGGCACTCCTGGAAGCCGCCGATGCCCTCGTGGTCCTGGTTGGTGGCCCCGCCGATGACGATCAGGGGCCAGCAGTTGACCTGGGCATTGGC